GTACGTAAATATGTGGTGACATTTCTGGTTTTATTTGTGCTATTATGTTGTGTTTTCTTGCTTTTAACCTATTGTCATTTTAAGTACTGTTTTTTGTTAAGCACTTTGGTCACCATCACCATGGTTGTGTAAAGTGCTATAGAAATAATAAAATAAAATAAATAAATATATCAGTCTGTGTGTAATGAATGAATATAATGTACAAGTGTTACATTTTGAATGGAATTACTGAAATAAATCAACTTTTTCATGATATTCTAATTTTATGACCAGCACCTGTATATATACTGTGTATATGTTTGGTTTTTTGTGTGCTCAGTCTGTTCCATTACCGATTAAAATCAGGTTACTCAAACGGACATCACTTTTTTTTTATAGTTTTCAGTGTCATCATTTCACTCTCACATAAATAATCTGATAGTTCCACTAAACATTAAGTGACTCTGCCCCTCCCTCTCTCCACAATCCACTTTTCCTTGTTCATAGTTTGTTATATTGATTGTTATAATTCTCTTGGGCCTCCCTCACAAATCCCTCTGAAGGCTTCAAACGATCCAAGATGCTCACATCAGTACCAAAACCCCCTCAATTCACCACATCATCCCCATCCTACAGCAACTCAATGACTTCCAGTCAAATTTAGAAATCATTTTAAAACCTTGCTATCTGGACCACCTTTTCCTCTTCCATCCACCCCATCCACCATGCCTCCTGTCTGCCTCAGCACCACGGGGAACAGAGATTCGTTTCTCCCACTCAGTTCATCTCTGGTACCTCCAGCAGACGTCTTCAGGACCGACTGTCCTTTCTATTCAAATCCCAAATAAAACTCATCTGTTCAGGTACTCGCTCTAGTTTCTTTGGTCATCTTTACTTGATTTTACTTCTTATTCAGTGCTTTTACTTTGTGTTTGAGATTGTTTTTAACCTCTGTAAAGTATCCAGGAATGAGATCACAATTAAAATGTCATATAATTAATATTATTAACCATTATTATATGGAAATTGCCATTTTAATTTACCCCATCAATGTATATTCCACAAATGGTTGAGTTTAGTTTCATGTTTAGTTTCTTTAATATGTGTTTTATAAAGTGTCTCCTTTTTGACATTGTGAGAATTATTAAAACAGGTTGTTTAAAAAATCTCATTATTACTTTTATTATTATTTTATTATTTTGCATTTTCAGACTTTAGCAACACACATTCTAGCATATAAGGTATTAGCAAAGAAGCAATGTTTAAATTAGAATATAATGAATGTTGTTAAGTTTGGTTACAACCAAATAACTTAATTGTGAGTTTTATTCACTTCTGTTGTTCCACTTTTATGTTATTTATTTACTTGACAAGGGAACACTATCCAGAGGGACAGTTGGTAGAGCTGCTGCGAGAAGATCATTGGATCGAATCCCAGTCGGAGGCCTTTCCGGGTGGAGTTTGCCTGTTGCATTTAAGCTTCTATTACTACCTGTGAAATACTTATTCATACAAATTCATCCTACTTGCACTGTTATATTCTACCATCTTGCTGTTTACTATTTTTCATTTGGACCTTGTAACTATTATATTTCCTTTTTCACTTTTATTGCATGCATTAGTATTTCTTGTTTGTTTTTTGTTTTTAGCGAGTCAAATCCGTTCTTCTCATCCTGAACATTTCATTGCATTGATGACATTGTGTTAACCTGCATATGACAAATAAACACAACTTGAACTTGAACATGTTCTCTCCGTGCATGTGTGGATTTTCTCCAGGTACTCCAGTTTCCTCTCACAGAACAAAAACATGCACGTTAGACTGATTGGTATCTCTAAATTGTTCCTGGTGAGTGAGAGAGTGAATGGTTGTTTGTCATGTCCCCCACCTCTCACACAGTGACTGCTGGACACGGGCATCAGTGACCCCCCGTGACCTGAAAAGGAAGAAGAGTGTAAAAATGATGAATGGATGGATGGAACACTTTTTCTTTAGTTGAACTTCAGCCAAAGCTGAAAAGGGTGAGGTATTGATCTGAAATGTACAGAGATGTTCTGATTCTCTTTGCCATGCGTTGTCCTTGTGATGGGAGCATCATCTGCATCTGAAACTCAGAGACTGTTTGTCTCATGGTGGATGAGAGACAAGCGAGGATAAGGAGGAGAACTGGGGACATCTGCTGGCACGAATGAAACAAGAACAAAACCAAGAGAACTCTACAGAATAATCCAAACCAACTCTCAGTTTAAATATGAACTTGGCTGCGTGTCTGTCTCTGCTCACTCTGTTATGGGCAAATCAAAACAGAACAAGGTAACCTCTCAGAACAACTGTAATTAATTTGAACTGCTGACCTCTGACAGGCCAGTGCAATGAGATGTCAACTAAATGGACAGGGGAGACTAGATCCTCCTTCTGGAGAATAAAAGTGGGGATGAAATGTGGATGTATGACCAATGACTCTGTGAACATACCAAGGCAGGATTAAAGAAGCTGTGGGCCACTGGGAGCTACTTTTGAGATCATATCAATGTTATGTTTTAACACTTAAAAATTATATTAACACGTGCAAGTTAATTTAAATGGTTTAAGTCGCACAGAGCACAGCTGATATTAGCTTTAATGTGATTTTCAAAATCAGAAACACAGAAAGCTATAAACCTATTAAACCTACTATCTACACATTTTATGTTTTAATAAGTCATTGATACACAAACCACAAGTTGATTTACCATATTTTTTGGACTATAAGGCACATTAAATGAAACAAAACAGAGAAGTCAAACTTTATTCAACTCATTCACAATAACTCTCAACATTGTTCAGTTGTAACACATAAAATTGGTTCGAGGTCAGTAAGCACAACTAGAATTAATACATAAGGTGCACCAGATTATAAGGCTCACTGTCGATTTTTGATAAAATTAAAGGATTTTAAGTGCACCTTATAATCCAAAAAAAAAAATGCAGTAAATTGTTTTTGTTTAAACTAAAAAATAAAGTATAATTTTTCATAGATCATATAACTTCAAAGTGCCATGGCAATCAGACAGAAAAGATCAAGATATAAAATATCTGCATGCTCTGCAATGTTGCTGCTGATCTGTTTCATGTTGCTGCTGATCTGTTTCATGTTGATGTGTTCATGCGTGCTCATCTGCTCACACAGACTCATGTTCATGTTCATGCTGCTGTTCAACGTTAATGCTTTTATGCTGTTAGTACTTAGTGTATATTTAGTTGATGTTTTTCTTAGTTCATGTCTTAGATGTTATTACTGTTTTTCTTATACATTTTATTGTTGGATGTAACTGGGACCCTGTGTACATAATTTCACTCCACCACATGTACCACATGAGGTGCGAATGACAATAAAGAATCTCTGACTCTGATCTTTTATAAAGCAGCACAAACACATTATCTTAATGTCTTGACATTACACAGAGCAAAGTAAATTACAACTTATCTGAAAGTTTCCAAATTCTGAGAGAGAGAAATAAAGGAAAGCCATTGGACTTGTTGAAAATTAATGTGTGATCCGACAGAATAAACAGCTTCAGCTGTGTGGATCTTAAGACGAAGGTGAAAATACAGATCACCAAATAATAAAAACACTGCATTAGTTCTCATAGTAACGATAACAAACCAACTAAAGGTATTTAGTAACAATAGTGGTACTGTTGTTAGGGGCTGCAGTAGCTTGGTGGTCAGTGAAGCAGCCCTGCAACACCAAGGTTGCAGGTTCAAGCCCAGGTTGCATCAGGAAGTGCATCCAGCATGAAAATTGCCAAATCTTTGATGCGAGTTTGCTCGCTGTGGTGACCCCTGACAAAGGCCACTCTTATTATTTTAAAACTGCAAAAAATCTGAAAGGAATTTAACAAAAACCAAGTGGCAGTTAAAAAAAAATTAGATCTTTTTCCAGTGATGTGGGCTTGCACCTAATTAGAAATAGGTTAAATAGTGTATTTGGAAAACATTCATTAAAAACAATACTTTTTTGGGGTTTACATGTACTAAACTTTGGAGCACTGATGTAGTGCACTGGTGAAACCCATTTGAAAGTCCAGCCTTGGAACATGTCATTGGGAAGTGGTGGCACAGTGGCTAGAGAAGGTGGGCCTGTGTTCAGAAGGTCGCCAGTTTGACTCCCCAGATCAACCATATCAAAATCAATCCATCGATCCATTACCCGCTTCTTTCTTTTCAAGTCACGGGGGTCATTGGTGCCCATGTTCAGTCCCATCAAAATGTGAGTGTAAAAGGTGAAACACCCACACCTGCCTCCACCCTCATTTACCCCATCCTTGGCCCCCGAGCAAGGGCCTTAACCCCCACCATCTGCTCCCTAAACAGGTCTCTCTTGAAAATGAGTCCTCGTGACTCAATGAGACTACCTGTATAAATAAAGGTTAAATAAAAAATAAAATAAAAATTGTTCTAAGTGACGCTGGATTAACCCTCTTGCTGCCCTTGGGTCAAAATGACCCTGATGATACCTCAGGTTCTGACAGGTTTTGACTCGAGGGCAGCAGGAGGTTTTAAATCTCTTTATTGCCTCAGGTGTGTCAGAGCTGAAGTCAGTTTGAGTGAGAATCTTTGCAACAAATGAGTGTCAGGCTGTTAAACACAGTCCGTACCTGAAAAATACTCGTCTCTGATTGGCTGACTGGCAGCTATTTAAAGAGGTTCCAGGTTTCATCGTTCCGGGTAACCATAGCAACAGCCGTTCAAAGTTCCGACGAAGGACCCTGAAGCTTAACTTTAGCTTAAGGTTGTTGCCGCTAATTCACACGCATTGTTTAGTAAAGCTGAAACATGTGCACAAATAACAGTATTCGTCTTGTTTATTGAGTTCGCGTGATTATTTTTTTTTAGCTGTGGCCGGACGTCACATGAGGTGGTGCCGCTGCCTTGGTGCCGCTACAAGATCTCGCGAGATTTGGAAAAATTTCGTTTAAAAAAAAAAAAAAAGGAAAGGCGGTCCCCCGCCCCTCTCTCTCCTCAGAGCTGTACAGGTAACACCAAGTTCCGCTGCATTGGACCGCTGCTGGCTCCTGGGGAGTGTTCTACCCAGCGACACCTCCCCTGCTCAGCGTCCCGAGCCTCACAAGCCCCGTCCCGCTCTTCGCCATCGCAGTACCCGGTTCAGGCTCACCGCCTCAGCGCTCCACCACCGGCATTTCTTCCAAGATGATACCTGCTGCAGCCATGTCCTTTTCGGCAGCGATGTTCGGGACGTTGATGCTGCAGATAGTTTCTTCCCAGAGCGGTAAGAAACAAGTCCAGTCTTATAAAAACTGAAAATCAAAGATAGGAATTGATGCTTGAATTTAAATTAGCTCATTTAGTGGCTATGTTTTGTAATAAAACGTTTGAAGATGTGTTTTTTTTTTTAAGAGCGCCGCTGCATGGAGAAACTAATCCCTCAACGTTGACTGAAGGGAAACACGTCTGCGCTAATATGTCGTGGAAAACGTTGTTTTTTTTTATTTGTTTGTTTCCGCAGCCTTGAAATGAAGGATCAATAATAAATTATTAATAGGCTACAATCTGGTTTTTGTAGTGGGCCACATCGGAGGCCTGAAAGGCGTCCCTAAAATGTCCTATGAAGTGTGGATCTGAATACTGAATACAGGAAGGACAAGTTCCGCTCATTACTTTCAGTGAAATGGGGAAGAGGAGCTGAGAAACTGTGCCACACTGAAGTTTACCCCCCCCCCCCCTGCTCCATACATGTTTGCATTCAGTGTTGTGCAGGAATTCAGCAGAATTATTTCTGCAGTCTCTTCTGTGCATCAGTCCAGGCTGGAGCAGCTCCTCATCATGTAGGCCCATATAATTAGATGTAGGACTCCTCTGTAAATAGCATCAGTCCATTTTGCTGCATGCTGCTATATTTAGAGCAGAGATGCTGCACTGGGCTTTAATGTCCTCGTGAGTCAGTTCACTCTTCACTGACAAGATGTTCTCGGCACTGCAGAATGGCACTGGTCTCCATGCTCTGTTCTACCTGCTCATAAATCTCTTTTCCCAGAGGTTGGGGCAGAGTGTCTTGCTGTAAGTGTGAAATGTTGCTTGGATGCCGTTACAGGCGGAGCGTGAGAGTGAGTTAGAGGCTTTGGCCTTCCCCCGGAGTGGACTGTGTGTGGGATTGCATCACACCTGCCCCACACACCCACACCTAACATCTCCTCAGTGGGAGGAACAGCTGATAAAGAGCAGACGTTATATATTGGCTCTTAATAAAGAATATGATCTTTCTTGTTTTCAGTGGTTTATGATGCCCATCAGTGATTGTTCTGCTTTCTTGTCATCTTTGTCCAAAGTGGGATAATAAGGTAGTTTGCATATAGGTTGTTCATATAATAACCTATTGCTATTAGGGCTCTGTATAGTTGTGTGTTACACTCAAAATTGTATGACTTTGATAAGGTTTGGGTTCTGCACATAGGTTATAGAAACAGTATCTTACCTGTAATAAACAACTCTTTGAACAGTCTCAGTTTGCAGACATAGTTTAATTCTCAGCAGATGGATGAGCCAATGTATCACCTAATTATCCTGGACAAAGTGTGACCCATGCTGTCATGAAGAGTCACGATGAATTACTCTTCACTATTGAGTTTTCAGTATTATTTCCAAATTCTCCACCTCATAAGGATCAAAATGATATATAATTTGTGCAAAATGTAAAATAAACTAGATAAATTACATTTTCAGTGTAAATGCAGTGTAAGCACATATTGGAGAAGAACTTGCTGAAAAACAGCTGAAGTTAGTTAAAAACATGCTGAAATGTAGCTGAAATGGAAGAACAAACCTAAGTAAGCAGAAAAAAGCAGAAAGAACACATATTTGCATTTGGTTTATAGAAGCAGAAATGAGTGAAAAAATTGGTAAATTAGCTTTAAAAAGCTGAAATTAGCAAGAAATAGCTGAAAAGTAGCTGAAATGGCAGAAGGCAGCTTAAATTACCAGAAGAAAGTAGAGAGAGCACAGTTGTGCCCAGTTAGGTTGAAAGAAGTGAAAATTAGCATCAAAAAGGGAAAATTATCAAAAAAAAAAAAAGCTGAAATTAGTAAAAAATTAGCTGAAAAGTAGCTAAAAAGGCAGAACTAAGCTAAAATTTAATAAAAGGAAGTAGAGAGAGGCAGCACGGTGGCACAACTGGTAGAGCTGCTGCCTCTCAGCGAGCAGGTCCCAGGTTCAAACCCCGGTCCAGGGGCCTTCTGGGTGGAGTTTGCATGTTCTCTCCGTGTATGCATGGGTTTTCTCCGGGTACTCCAGTTTCCTCCCACAGACCAAAAACATGCATGTTATGCTGATTGGTAACTCTAAATTGTCCCTAGGTGTGAGTGAGAGAGTGAATGGTTGTTTGTCTCGTGTGTCTCTATGTGTCCCTGTGATGGACTTGCGACCCGTCCAGGGTGTACCCCGCCCCTCGCACAGTGATTGCTGGACATGGGCACCAGCGACCCCCGTGACCCAAAATGGAATAAGCGGGTAAAGATAATGGATGGATGGAAGTGGAGAGAGTACATTTTTGCCGAATTAGACTGAAAAAGTTTAAAAAAGTGCAAAAAATGTTGAATTAGCTGAAAAAGCTAAATAGTAGCAGAAATAGCAGAAAAAACTGAAACTTGTAGAAATAAGCTGAATTAAGCAGGAAGAAGTTAGAAGAAGCACAAAAATATTGTAGTTGGCTGAAAGAATCTGAAAGGAACACAAAACAGCTGAAAAACAGCTAAAATTAGCTGAAAGTAGCTGAAAATGTTTAAATTTGCACAAGAAAGCTGAAAGACGCTGAAGCAGAACAAAGTGTGAAAAGAGCAGTAAAAGGTTGTAAAAAGAGATGTAAAGATTTGAAGGATGTAAAATGAGCTCAGTTCATTTTCTATAAGGAAAATATTGCAGAAAAGGTTAAATATTTCAAAAGCTAAAGTTGCACCAATACCAAAAGTCATAGCAGGATTGTCCTGAAAGAGCTGAACGTTTTGATTTATGATTTGTTGAAATAGCACAAAAACTGCAGCATGAGAAAGATGCTGAAAAACATACGGAAGAAAAATGGATCATTATAGTGTGAACGCTTCATAAACAGTCACACAATCAAAAGCCAATACAGTAGATAAATTTTTATTTTATTTGTTATTGTCACAAATTTTAAGTTGACATTGATTTAATTGATCTTTCAAATTGATTTAAATGTATACATTTTGGTGATGAAATTGTTTAATGCCCTTGACAAATAAAGAGACACATGAGCGATGTACACAACTGCAGGGCCAAACTAAACTAACACGAACCTGAACATGAGCTGCATCCTGACACGTACTGTACGTTCGCCTGCAGAGACAAGCCTGTCCACACATCCGGTCCATTGAGGTGACAGCGTCCACCTCTCAGCACTTTGAGGCTGAGGATTTTGCCCGGTCACAGTCTTCACTGCTGCTTCTTTTATGGATGCAGGAATGTATGTGTTGTTGACCTGCTGGTCAGGAGGAAGCAGCTTTGCAGCAGGGCTCTGTCATATTGACTAAAAATGAAAAGATTTTGTTTTCTGCTGCTCTGCTGCATCTTGTCCTGATGCATGCTCAATGATCCACAGATTCTTCTTTGTTGAAACATTTTGTCTTTTACCCAAAATACTTCTTCAGTCTGAGGCGTTGCAGTGACAGCCAGAGTGATGTAATGTCTCTTTTGATGTCACATCACTCTCTTTAAGTGCCTTCCTGTGGCAGTGGAGGTGTTCTGTTTAATGCTAAAATCAGACACCACTCTGAGCAGCAGCATGACTCTTTCCACAGAACAACTGTGTCAACTCTTGAAACTGTGCCTGCAGTCGACCTACTTCACGTATGGGGAGCAATATTATAGGCAGAAACATGGGGGTGCCAGTCTCCAGTTTCTCCATGTACAGTTTGGCAACAATAGGAGACACTGGAGACACCACCAAGTCATTGGTTCAGGTATGTTGATGACACCTGGGTTAAAATTAAATCTCAGGAAGTCCAACATTTTACTGACCACATCAACTCTGTGGATAAATACATCAAGTTCACACGAGAAGATGTAAAAAATGGCAGGTTGGCTTTCTTGGACTGTGAGGTCTCAGTCTCTGATAGAGGACATTTGCAAACTGAGGTGTGCCGCAAACCCACCCACACAGACCAGTATTTGCAGTTTGACTCCCATCACCCTTTGGAGCACAAGTTAGGAGTCATCAGGACTCTGTATCACAGAGCAGACAGCGTCCCCACTAGCTCAGGAGCCAGGCAGAAGGAGAAATCCCACACAAGACAGGCTCTAGAGAAATGTGGATATCCTAACTGGGCCTTCCTGAAAGCAGAGAAGAAACCCAAACAGGACTCCAGTCAGCCAACAGGTGAAAAGGAGGAACCCAGACCCAGACCAGTGGTCATTCCGTATGTTGAGGGAGTATCAGAGAAACTGAGACGTTTATTTTCTAAACATAACGTCCCAGTGGCTTTTAAACCCCAAAATACATTACGGCAAAGACTGGTTCATCCCAAAGATCCAGTCCCCCGGCACAAACAGAGTAATATTGTGCATGTTGTTCAGTGTCAGGAGGGTGATCAGTCTTACATCGGGGAAACTAAACAACCACTGGCCAAAAGGATGGCCCAGCACAGAAGATCAACATCATCAGGCCAGGACTCTGCGGTCTACACTCATCTCCAGGCCAGCGGTCACTCTTTCAGGGATGAAGATGTTCACATCCTGGACAGAGAGGAACGATGGTTTGAGAGAGGAGTAAAGGAGGCCATCTTTGTGAAAAGAAATCGTCCATCATTAAACAGGGGTGGAGACCTCCGGGTTCAACTGTCCCCCTCTTACAATGCTGTGATTGCTAGTATCACTCAGCCCTCTGTGAGTAGTACACAGCCATCAGTGTGCTAATGATCCATTGTTAGGCTGATGGTCCTTCTTGAGCATGTGATCAGCTGGTTTTGGTTGTCAGCAGCAAAACTGGTTGATCCACTCTGAGAAGGTGCTATTTAAGAGACTGAGCTGAATACAGCACCTCAGACTGAGGAAGTCTCTCGGATAAAATAGAAACATTTCGACAAAGAAGAATCTGTCTAGAGGACCTGACTCAACCTTGTTAGATCTACTGGATCTTGTTGGCTGTTTTTTTAATTTCCTTGCTTTGTTGCTGAAGGTGCTTCTATTTAAATGGGTGGGGGTCTATAACCATGTGCCCACTCTCTGCAGAGACCAAGAGCTGCACAGATTATAGAAACCTCTCAATCTGAAGCTCGCCATGCCACTTAGAACCTGCTCATGACTGCAGCTCCCTGTCCTCCTCCTCCTCATCCTGCTCTCTGTGTTCTGATGAGTTTCACTTTGATTTTTCTTTTAAAAGAGAGATAGACATATTTTAATTATTATTAAGTGTACTTTTTGTCTATCCCTATGGCTGAATAATTATGATGATCCTTTTCTTAAGCAGACATGAAGTGTTGAAAGTGACATGGTCTCATGGAGGACTTTGCATGCGAGTGCAGGCCAAAGGTTTTATATGATGTCATAAATGAACAAATGAAGTAAGAGCAGACTTGCAGGGATGGCCCAGCAGATCTGAAATAAAGATTGCCTGGAATGGCAGAGATGACGGCTGAGACAGACCTCAGGTCATTTCTTGTTCTTTTTGCAAAAAGCATAAATGTGATTACTTATCTATCACAGCCGTTCAGTTTGTTGTGGATCTGGTTTAGTTTTATAAATAAGTCAAACAAAGTAAGTTTGTACAAAATCCTAGATCATTACTTTGAGTTTTGGCAGTTCGTTCATGTAAAATGAAGTTGGATTGAAAATAAACTGAGAAAACAATAAAATTGATGTTTTTTTCAAACGAGTTTTAACTTAATTAGTACAGACATTGTAATTAGTTTAAAAAGCAAAACAAGAAACCTTTCAATCTTTTAATTTTAATATTGTTTTGTTCTGTTATTTCTTATATGGTTGTATTTTCTTTCTAATTTATAATTTTCTGATTCTGATTTAACTTTCATGTATTATGATTTTTTGCCTCTCCATCCTTCATCTCTTTGTTGGCTTGTCTGATTTCTGGACATCCTGCCTCTTTAAACCACCACCACCACCAGCGGGCTTTATGAAATCACCCTTGTCCAAGACTAAACTCACAAGCGACACCTTTGAGCTGTACTGTGATGTAGTAGGTAACCCCACCCCAGAAATCCAGTGGTGGTACTCGGAGCTCCACCGAGCGGACTCTTTCAGGCAGCTGTGGGATGGCGCCCGGAGGCGGCGGGTGTCAATCAGCACGGCGTATGGTGTGAACTCTGTAAGTGTGTTGGGAGTGTCGCGTCTCATGCTGGACGACTCCGGGACGTACGAGTGCAGAGCCAGCAACGACCCGAGACGGAACGACATCCACCAGAACCCAGCCACCACCTGGATCCGAGCTCAGGCCACTGTGACGGTGCTGCAGAGTGAGTGGTCAGTGTAGAGCCACCTCCTCCCACATTACCAGTTTCTGGCTCCCCCTCCTTCAAACCTCTCCAGAAGACCACTAGCTTCCTTTGTAGCTACCATCCTCTCCTGTGGACCTGAAAGTTGTAGAAAACCACCATCAGTTTATTCTCTTTTTATTTGTTACCATACAGAATGAAGTATTCTGTCTAGTTTCATCCTCAGATGCAAACCTGTCAACTACAACCTGTGGATCCTTCCTGTCCCATTAGTTCCTCTGTTCATTTTTTTATTAGTTCCTCTGTTCATTTTTGTCATTCAGCTGCTTCTTTAATGTTTACTCAAATCCTATTATTTTATATTTTAGTTATTACTTTCAAAACCCGTGTTCTTTAATTGACTATTTTTAACGATTCAGTGTTTCTGGATTTGATTTACTGCAGTAGATTTTTTTTTAAAGATCAACCGATTCAACATACAAAGAAGTTGAAAATAAAAGTACTTAATGGCAAAATCAAAAACTTTTAAATTGGTAATACTTG